CTGACACTGAATGCTCTCTGGAGTCCAGCATTTCTTTGAGTTCCTCTGACCCTTCATCTGAAAGTGGAGAGGACACTGAGGGTCCGGCCCACAGTGAGGGGACAGAGAAGAACGGAGGTCGTTCTCCCAGGAGCTGGGGAAAACCAGGGTGTCCTCACAGATTGTGAGAAGAAAGCCCCCCGTGGTGGTGGATGGTGGGCCGGACCCTCAGTGTCCTCTCCACTTTCAGATGAAGGGTCAGAGGAACTCAAAGAAATGCTGGACTCCAGAGAGCATTCAGTGTCAGACCCCAGCTCGAACCTTGTGTCTTCTTCAGATGAGTCCTGCAGCTCGCTGGCAGAAGAAGGCTGCAAGATTATTTCTGAAGTCTCTTCTGCACTGACATGCTTCTTCATTTGAGTTCCTTCTCTTTGCTCCAGGTCTTTCTCCTTCTCTGCTCACTAATGAAATAAGCCCTTGGTCAAACTGCATGTTTATCTTTGGCAGCCAGGTGCATAAACACACTAACATTTGTTTTTTGTTTTTGAGTAATCAAGCAGCTCTTCAAAGACACATCAAACACATCCCTCAAAAGATGGCCTTTTTTTCCCATGAAATGATCTGTGCATGCTTACAGATTCTCACACACACGGAGAGGGAGGAGAGGTGTGTGCTGGTTGTGCACAGGCCTAAAAAATTGTTGTTCTATCACCTGAGAGCACCAGGTCACATGCTGCAGGACCTGCTAGTCTGCTGCTGGAAATGACACACACACACACACACAAACACACGCACATATACACACACACACACGCACATACATACATATACATACATACATACACACACACACACACACACACCACTCTCGGGGCCCCCTGGTAGTCACACGGCTCCATAATATAACTGGCAAAAATGTAAGAATGTAATGCATCGGCCTACACGGAAACTTGTGTAATCTGTTGGAATAGAGTAGAAATATCAAATATCACTACTTTTCTTCTAAATGAAATGCTGACATTACAAAATGCATGGTTTTATACTGCAATGGCAGTGAGATCAACAAATGTGGTCTGAATGGAAGTCAATGAGGCATTTTTGAGAGAAATGAAATAATTAAAATAATTAAACAGGCATTTAATGGGTTAAAATCCTGCCAATAATTGAATGTTTGGTAGTTTGGAGTACGTGAGAAGTTGTATATGTGATTCATGAAAAAAAAGTAGAAAAAGATATTGATGTATGATGATTTAATAGCAGTTGTTTTGGGCGTGTACATTTTTGCCACAAAGGTGTCCAGAGGTAGTATCTGACACTACGTAAAAATTAATAATGCAGTCAAATACATTTTGTTGCTAATCTTTGACACATCCCAGACTCTAATAACCACCAAAGTTCCATCCCTCTACTAATTATTATATTGAAAGAAATTCATTTTTTGTGTTTTTTTTTAAGAGAAATTAAATAATTCAAATAATGAAACAGGCATTTAAAGGGTTAAAATCCTGAAAATTATTGGATGTTTGGTAGTTTTGAGCACGTTAGAAGTTGTTCAAGTGATTCATGGAAAAAAAAGTTTAATAAAATATTGATGTATGATGATTTAATAGCAGTTTCTATGAGCGTGTACATTTTTGCCACGAAGGGGTCCAGAGGGTGCAAAATGCATCACGAGAGTATACAAAACATGTAAGAGTAAACGACATTGGATTTCAAAAATTTGACTCAAAAGAAGACTTCTTGCAAAAATCCATGCCAAAAGCTGTAACACAGCTGAAATGATCACCAAATCAAAAAAAAAAGTCAGGAAAAATGTACAAAAATGCCCGAGGAGGGCACAAGGGTTAAAGGGTTCAAACATATCATACGACATCTGAATTAAATATTCTCTATGTTGGTAATTGTTAAGTCAGTGTTATCTTAACGTTGTGTTTTATATGTTATTTTAAATGTTGCTGTTAAGAATTTAAACATGTCACGTGTCTTTGAGTACCATAAAAAAGCGCCCTATAAATAACATGTATTATTATTATTATTATTTTAAAAACACTGCAGTGGTGACGTTTCACACGCTGTAAGCAACCATGCACTGATGCACAACAACAATAATAACTTGTGTAAAAGGACAGTTTTTTGTGCTTTTCATGTATTTAAATCAGTTAGAAATGATATGAAATAAGACATATCTTACCTTCAGTTGTGCAGCAGATGCTAACACTGCTTCTTCATCTTCTTCATGTCGCTTCTTCCCAGACGTAAAACAAACATCACAAGCTAACGAAGCTAACTACTGACAGACAGCTCAAACCAATGCTAACCTGTATTAGCCTTCACTTGTAGAGGATTCACGAAAACATAGAGTTCCTGGTAGACATATCTTTACATAGGAGGAATTAAAAATTACCTCAGACTCGTTAATATATTAAATTAATGTCTTGCTTTTGTTTGTTTATCTAGCTTCGTAGCAGGAAAAGGGAGCTGACGTCACTTCTGGTTCACTCTTCTTCTTCTTCTTCGTGGTGTTATATTACAGTCAGGGGTCACTACCGCCACTCTGCGGTTATGGTGAGTAGTACAACACAAAGCTGAGTATTCATTCATTTTCTACTATCAGAGGTGGAAGAAGTACTCAGATCTTGAAGTAAAAGTAGATGTACTCAGAACTTGTACTTGAGTAAAAGTACAAGTACACAGATCTTGTACTTGAGTAAACGTACAAGTACACAGATATTGTACTTGAGTAAAAGTAGAAGTACACAGATATTATACTTGAGTAAAAGTAGAAGTATTCAGATCTTGTACTTGAGTAAAAGTAGAAGTACTCAGATCTTGTACTTGAGTAAAAGTACAAGTACACAGATATTGTACTTGAGTAAAAGTAGAAGTAGCCTACTCAGATCTTGTACTTGAGTAAAAGTAGAAGTACACAGATCTCGTACTTGAGTAAAAGTATGAGTACACAGATATTGTACTTGAGTAAAAGTATAAGTACACAGATCTTGTACTTGTAAAAGTAGAAGTACCAGAGTGTAGGAATACTCGGTTACAAGTAAAAGTAAAAGTATTAGCATCAAAATATAGTTAAAGGTGGGGTAGGTCATTTTGAGTAACCGGCTCGAGATCGCTAGAATTTGAAAATACACAACCGGAGAAAATCTGCCACTTCCTTACAGAGCCCCTCCTCCAACACACACGAACGCGCACATGACCAATGAGGGCACGAGATAAGTTTGTGCACAGATGGAAGGCTGACAGGCAGGAAGGCCATCCAGTTATTTTAGCAGGGCCGGCTCAGATGATTGGTCGTGCTTTTTACAGTATTACGGCTTCCACAGATGACATTTTTTAATGGATTTTTTGTCAAAGCACTTAAGATATTTATTACTATCGGGATGTTAAGTTATTCCATGGAATATAACAAAAAGTGTATCTCGAGCCGGTTTCTCAAACTTACCTACCCCACCTTTAAAGTACCACAAGTAAAAGTATTCATTGTGCAGATTGGTCCATTTCAGAATAATATATATGTTTTATAATTATTGATCATTAAAGTGTTATCAAAGCTGGTAAAGGTGCAGCTAGTTTTAATGACTTTGTATACTGCATATACTATGTTTAAAATATTTGTAAAAGATCGGAGAGCCAGCCTCTCGTCCAGTCTGACCTCACTAATGGCGCGTTTCCACTACAGCGCGGAGCACGGTTTAAGAGGGCTGTGACGTCAGCGGCCCGTCTTTGGTTGCGTTTCCACTTGGCCTAGTACCGGCCGGCGGGTCCTAATTCACAGTTTTTCTGGCCTCATAAAATCGCGGGTCTAGGGCCAGAGACAACGAGGCTGAGTCGGGCTGAGTATGCTAAACTAGAGGGAGCATCGCTGGCAAGGGGGCTACAACTACAACAAGATGGACATATTTGACCGTGATTTAATTGTAATACACGTTTCAAAATGATGCCGAAGTAACAACATACTGATACCGGTTAGTAAAAACCATGAATTAATGCTTTGTCAAGTCTGCAGACAGACGGCAGGCGAAAAACCTTTTAAAATGCGTGTGTTCTAAATGGAGATTGGCTAAGCTAACGCAGTATATGCTCCGACCGTCCACACTCACAACAACGGCCTATACAGACATAAATAAAGCAGCGACTGTATTCACCATGACACAGGCAGTCTGTGGTTTGTACTTGTTTAACTTTTGTCTAGTTTCTGAACATATATGAGGAGCTGTGAGCTCTGAGTGCTAACAGCTAACGGCTGTGTTGTTTTTCTGGGGTTCTCTGAAGATCACGTCACGGCTCCGCCTACACTGCGTTACTATAGATACTACCCCAGTTCCTAAACTGTAATGGAAATGCGCCATAAAGTGAGCCAGTCCTAACGAGGCCCAGCCATACCGAGTGGGGCCGAGCGAGGCCGTGTAGTGGAAACGCGCCATAATGCTCTTCTGGATGAAAGGGCTTCCCACAGACACACTCCAAGATCTGTAGAAAGCCTTCCCAGAAGAGTGGAAGCTGTTATAGCTGCAAAGGGGGACCAACTTCAAATGAATGCCCAAGAGTTTGGAATGGGATGTCCTGAAAGCTCCTGCAGGTGTAATCAGAATCAGAATCAGAATCAGAATCAGAATACCTTTATTAGTCCCACAGAGGATACATGTACATTGTTACAGCAGGAAAGAGACAAAGACAGCTTCATGTTACCTAAAGCATGCATACAACAAAGTATTAAAGATTAGTTACACGTTTTACAAAATACACAGTTTTTAACAGCATATATATATATATAATATTGCCTAAAGGAAGCGTATATAATGTGAACACAATAGGTCCAAGCTCTGAGCCCTTATGCTTTGCTGCGGCAGAACTGGCTGGATTAAATCAAACAAAACTCTAAACACATTTTCAGCTCTGCACACAATCTGCAATTCAACTCTGCACTTTCTAAAACACTGCACACGGTTCTCTGAGTAACACACAGAGATCTGACATATTCACCTGTCAGCCATTTTCAACACACTGCCATTAAACATGCTACACATATGAGCCAATGAACAGATACACATGCCAGCTGACCGTTAACGCCTGGCTGCTTTACTGTTGACTCATCAATCAGGATATAAGTACAAGAAGTGGGATATTTATGGAAGAAAATAATATTTAGTCTTAAAGTTATGTGAAAAAAATATATAATATCCTGAAGGATTATGAAATACACAAGAAAGAAAACAAGATTTAAGTCGTTAATTCATGAGAAAAGCACTCAGATAGAAAGTCAGAAACATTTAAAAATATTTGTTTAAAATGTCGTTTAAATAAAATGTCCAAAGAAAGTATTCAGAGTAATTCTTATTACAGTTTTATAATTGTTTTATATATTCCTCAAATGACCTGCTTTGACTGCAGCTTGAGAAACTCCTGGATTCAGTCTGAAAGCATCCTTTTTTAACTTTAAACATGATCTTTAATAATGTTGTAGTTTAGTTTAACTCTGAGAGGTGGACTGGCTGGACTCCTCACTGGGACTCTGGTTCTGGACCAGCTTACAGGGTCCAGGAGTTCTTGGAGAGAAGGAGCGCTTCCTGCCGCAGGACTCGGGGGATGGGAGTTCCTGAACATGGAGAAACAGCTTCAGTTATTATGCTCCAAATATCTGGAACAAAGTCACAGAAAGAATGTGTCTGCAGCTCAGAGAGTCCTGCTGGGAACCCACACATGTTGAGGAGCCCAAAGTGTGATGAGAGAAATGTACAGTACGGGTCCCCAGCACATAGAAGCTGCCGGATGCTAACCTGCATATGGTGGGAGAGCTTTACAGATCAGGAGAGGAACTAAGTACATTTACTCAAGCACTGTACTTAAGTACAACTTTGAGGTACTTGTACTTTACCTGAGTATTTCCATGTTATTCGACTTTGTACTTCTACTCCTCTACAGTTCAGAGGTAAATGGTGTACTTTTACTCCACTACATGTATTTAATACCTTTAGTTACTTTACAGATGTGGATGAATGATGTGAAATCTAACCAAGTGTTAAATCAGACTTTAGTTCCACCTGGAGTAAATTCACAAGCTACCCTGCAGTATACAAAGTCATTCAAACTAGCTGCACCTTTACCAGCTTTGAGAACACTTTAATGATCAATCATTATAAAACATATCATATATATTATTCTGAAATGGACCAATCTCCACAACGACTACTTTTACTGTCGCTACTTTCACTATATTTTGAGGATAATACTTTTCTACTTTTACGTGAGTACAATTTTGAATGCAGGACTTTTACTGTAACAGAGTATTCCTACACTCTGAGTACTTCTACTTTTACTTAAGTACAAGATATGAGTACTTCTACTTTTACTCAAGCACAAGATCTGAGAACTTGTACTTTTACTCAAGTACAAGACCTGAGTACTTCTACTTTTACTCAAGCACAAGATCTGAGTACTTCTACTTTTACTCAAGCACAAGATCTGAGTACTTCTACTTTTACTCAAATACAAGATCTGAGTACTTAAAGGGGACCTATCATGCAAAATGCACTTTTGTACGTCTTTTATACATGAATATGTGTCCCCGGTGTTCCAGGGAACTCACCAAGTGTCAGAAAACACAACCCTCTCTATTTTCCTCCATACCCAAATCTCTAAAAAAGGGGCTGCAACGGATCTGATAAAAACTGATCCAGATTTGAACACTGTCCTGACGTCAGGACAGTGGCGCTACGGCTATTGGGCCAACTCCACCAATCAGGAGGAGACCGCCACGGCCATTGCCGTTCGAAAGCGCTGGAGACGTTGTAGTACATATGCCAGGCCTGTAGATGGTGCTGTTCTGCCCTTATCTGCCCTTACAAACACAGAGCTAGAAATTGTCAAATTGAGCGAAATGAGGCATGGCTAAAATGCATGATCTGTTTGGTATTTTGAAAAAAAAAAAGTATAAATATGCCTTATATAGGTATGGTCCTACACTATATTATTCAAATATAGCATGATAGGTCCACTTTAAGTGCAAGATCTGAGTACTTCTACTCAAGTATATTCTGATGATAATACTGTAACTGGTTATAATGTTGATGTTTTCATGTGTTTTATTCTACAGAGTTTATTTACATTTTACAGAGTGTCAGTGAACGCGTCACTGTTTTGATAGACAGTTCTTGTGAAGAGAAAGAGCCAAAATGATGAAGAGAGAAAAACAAGAGTGTTGTTTTCCTCTGAGGATATGCTCCATGAAAGAGTTTCATATCTTGATGAATGGAGGATATTCAGTACTCACAGTTCTTCTGGATCTTGGCTCTGATCGTCTCATCATATCTGATCCTGTAGGGATGAACACAATCCAACAGTTATGGATCCAGTTTAAAATAAGTGTTTGTTCTTTGAGTCAGCTTCAGAGTCCTGACTGATCTCATGCTTTACATCCCATCATATCTTTTCTGCAAACACTACGACTGACTGCCACAGCTCTCAGCTGCATTACAGGAAGTAACAGTCATTAGTCAAGGAACTAAAAACATCCCATAAAAAACAGACTACCTTTTCCACTCTTCTGTCAAATCCCATATGTCTGGTGGAAAGTTGATTACTTACTAAATGTGGCTTTGCATTTTCAGCTGGCCTTCTCTAGTTGATGGAAGAATGAAAGAGCCTGCAGTCAGTGGGTAACATCACTGATCTGTTGTGATTCCCCAGTGAGAGAAACACCTCCCTGTGTTTCATACAATACTGCTGAACCAGCAGAGACCCCTTACTGACCTGAGGGTCTCCAGTCTGCAGTCTGGACTCTCCAGAAGATCTCTCAGCAGCTCCACTCCTGAATCCTGCAGAGCGTTTCCTCTCAGGTCCAGATGTCTCAGATGGATGTTGGACTTCAGAGCTGAGGCCAGAGCAGAACAGCTGATCTCTGACAAACTGCAGTTCCTCAGTCTGAATAAAGAAAACATGATGAGGATAAAAATCAGTTTATAATCCAATCAGATGTTACTCAACAACAACAACAATTATACTCACTTACTTACTTTAATAATATCATTGTGTGATTCTTATTTGCTAATGTTTATCTATATTTACTACTTCTCACTCTTCTTAGCTAAGCTTGGGGAAAGTCCTTATGAAGAAGATGTGTTGCAGTGTTGTTAGTGACTCTCTATGTGCACCAACAGTATGACCTTCACCTCAGGTGAACTGAGAACTTCCTGATACGGCCTCCCTAACTCCCAGAATGCTCCTTCATCATCACCAAGCTTCCCCCCTCCCTTTCTCCTCTCTCGAGACTCATCTCAATACCCCTCCTCGACTCCTCCTTTCCCTCACTCGCGTCCCTTCCTTGCGTCTTAGCTCCGCCTCCGTAAGATGCGAGCGAGAGACACGAGGAGGAGACGCGAGGACAGAGGAGTCCTCAGGTATTAATTGGGATGTCCTCGTTCACTCAAACGTCACTCTTAAACGACGTCTGTTAATGATGACATGTGCACAGCTGTATCCCCTCTCATCGGGCTTAACTGAATAACCTTTAGAACCGGCCCATTTGTTGTTAAATATTTATTTAAATGATGAATCTTTCTCTTGTTAGTCAAGGAATTCAATGTATGATGGTTGGTCCTGCTTTTGTGTTACGTTTTGGTGTCAAATGTACATTTCAATAAAATTATAATTATAGTAATGTGAAAGCCTTTACTCTGAACATGTGTGTCCTGTAGATCCCCACATTCAGGACTGCATTTAAAAAAATGTAACTACTCAATATTTTAACACAAAACAAAACAAATAATTGTTATTTATCAAGATCTAGCCATTTATGAAATAGCTTTCTTAATAGCTATGTTTTAGTGACGTTCAAGATCATTAAACATGACTTAAATTGTTAGTATAACCTTAAGAAATGAATTGCACATAATAATTCCCACGGAGCTGTGAGCACTTAGACATTTATGTGACGCTTTCCCACTCATTCTTCCAGTTCTCCGTTTTCCTCTCTTGAAATCGACCAGCTGTGAAGGTGGGGGCGGGGCTTTTATACGCGAGTAGTGAAAACACTTCCGCGTAGTCTGCTCTCGTGTATCCTCCCTTTGGTCTCCTCCCGCACCCCTCCTCCCTCACCCCTCAAAAAAACGTCCTTCAAAATGGCGTGTCTTGATCGATTTCCGGGTCAAGTCCCGGAGGAGGGGAAGAGAGGAGTCGAGGAGGGGTATTGAGACAAGGCTTCTGTGTTTAAATATGCAACCCAAACTCTACTCTTCGTCTTCCTCTCTGCAGACTGTATGCTCTCTGTGTGACTGACTGAACTTTCTTCAAGAAATAAAATACCACAAAGACAGCTGAATGCTTTGATTCTCTCACATTTGATGAATAAATTCCCATCACAATGTCAAACTAAAATGACTTCAGATGACCTTTATTCAGACGTTATCGTTTACTAAATATTAAATACATAGATTTACTTTTTACAACTAACATCTATTACAGTTACTTTAAGAAAGAGTCAACATGTATGTCTGCAGTTCTTTCTTCTTACTCTTAAAAATGAAATATGAATAAAAGAATATTTACAACTTTATGGCTGTAAATTATTAATGAATATAAATGAGGTTCAATTACAAAGTGAACATGTGAGATCTCCAGCAGTAACAGAGAGTCAGTGAACTGACCTGAGAGTCTCCAGTCTGCAGTCTGGACTCTCCAGACGATCTCTCAGCTCCACTCCTGAATCCTTCAGATAGTTGTTGTGACTCAGGTCCAGATCTCTCAGATGGATGTTGGACTTCAGAGCTGAGATCAGAGCAGAACAGCTGATCTCTGACAAACTGCAGTGCTCCAGTCTGAATAAAGAAAACATGATGTAACTTTAGAAAACAATGTTCCTGTTTGAAATAACTCCAGGTTTAATAATCTGTTCAGAGTGAAACAGGGTTTTAATGTCAGAGATGATGCAGAAACAATCCACTGATAATCTGGAACTTTAACTTTGATCAGATGTTGAACAACTCCTTCATCTCCCTCACAGCTCATCAGTACTGACAGCATCTCCACTGACTCATGGAGCACAGAGTGAGTCTGTGGAAGCTCAAACTCTCTCCCTCACACATTCACCTTCTCTCTGTTACTCTGATCAATATTCAGTCATTAGCAAACATGGAACAAATAAAAATAAAAAAAATTTTTTATTTAGCCTTTATTTATACAGGTGTAAAATCTCATTGAGACACAAGGTCTCATTTGCAAGAGAGACCTGTCAGTGGTAACACTACCACACAAAGTTACAGACAGACAGGACACTAAACACAGAGGCAACAATAAAATACAACATCGTAAAAAAGTAGTCATTGAAATCCATATAAAGTATTCAGATATTGCAGGTGCAAACACCCACAGATGATTTCTCCAGCTTTTTTTAAATTAGTTTAAAATCTGTGATGGGTATCAAACTGGTCAGCTTAAGTTCCTGCTGAAGTGTGTTCCAGGTCGAGGGGGCAGAGTATGATATGGCTTTTTTCCCAAGCTCCGTGCGAACTGAGGGGACGGACAGAGTGATGTCATTTTGAGATCGTAGGCTATAGCTGTACTGTTTGTGTGATATGTAAGTGGATATGTAGAGGCGCAGCAGTCCAAGCATAGCGGTATAGATGAGTTTGTACCAGTGCAGTGATCTGCGCATTGATAATGATGTCCAGTTGACTAAAGAGTACAGCGTGCAATGGTGTGTGAGGGGTTTACAGTTGGTTATGAACCTCAGAGCCCCATGGTAGACAGCGTCCAGCAGATGAAGTGAGTGAGCTGAGGCGTTCATGTACACAACATCCCCGTAGTCCAAGAGCGGCAAAAATGTGGCAGCTACAAGCCGTTTCCTCGCACTTGTGGAGAAGCAGGCCTTATTTCTAAAAAAGAATCCCAGTTTTAATTTCAATTTCCTTAAGAGATAGTCAATATGTGGTTTGAAGCAGAGATTGTCATCTATAGTAATGCCTAAGTATCTGTAGGTGTTAACAGCTTCAATGGGGTTATGCTGTGCAGACATGATGCAGGGAAGAACAGTTGGTAACCTTTTCTTATTGGAAAACAACATGACTTTTGTCTTATCTGAATTTAACACCAACCTAAGGTGGAACAGATGTGACTGAAAAGTGTCAAAAGCAGACTGCAGACGTTCAAATGCAAGGGCAACAGTGCTAGCACAACAGTACACAACAGTATCATCTGCATATAGATGTACAGAGGCATCAATACTTTGACCCACATCATTTATATAAATAGTAAAAAGGGTCGGTCCCAAGACCGAACCTTGAGGAACACCTCTGGTTAAATTAAGAAAGCTTGCGGAGAGACCGCTGAATTTTACACATTGCTTGCGATTCGAAAGATAGTTTGCAAACCAACCAACAGCTTGGTCAGACAGGCCTATATAAGATAACTTCTGGCCTAGAATGCCATGGTCCACAGTATCAAATGCCTTGGATAAGTCTATAAAAAGGGCAGCAACATTGTATTTGTTCAAATTCAGAAAATCCTTAACACAAACAGATCAATATGAACTGCAGTCAGTGAACTGACCTGAGAGCCTCCAGTCTGCAGTTTGGACTCTTTAGTCCAGAACTCAGCAGCTCCACTTCTGAATCCTTCAGATGGATGCCACTCAGGTCCAGATCTCTCAGATGGGAGGGCTCAGACTTCAGAGCTGAGACCACGACTTCACAGTGAGTCTCTGAGAGTCCATAGTGTCCCCAGCCAGTAAGTCTATAATAAAACATATATTACAACATGTGTTAAAAAGAGGAAACATTATATTAACATCAAGCATTTGATGAAAAAATATTTGACATGTTCTGATAGACATTTGCTGTTAGTCCATTTAATATAATATATAATAATATATGATAATAGAGTGTAATGAGTTGTCAGTGTGATCTGATCACATGTCTGTGCTCCTGCTGTCACTGACTGTTACCAAAAGAAACAGAAATTAAATGAATCACGTGACAATATTAGAGATGTACATATTTAAATGTTAGTTAATATGTGGATGTGAATGATGGATGAAGGATGTTTTGGCTTCTCTGAGCAGCTGAACATTTATTGCGCACACAAACACAATTAACAAACCAATAAAGTTTCAATATGTTCAACTCGATACCATCAGATGTTCCCAGTATATCAGCATTAAGACATAACTCTGTTATTGGTGGGAAATGATATAGATCTGATTTTAAACTCTAACACATTGTGATAAAAACGTGTTTAATGATAAAGAAACTACTAGAAAGTAATAATAACATGTTTCTGTGATAACTGTAAGTCCTGCTGTGTGGTGTGATCACATGCTGAGAAACCTCTCAAGTCCTTCATGTGTTTGACATGTCGCCTCCATCACTCAATATGAAGAGAGGAACGCTTCAGTTTAACTATTATTATAAATAAATAGAAGAACAGTGTTGGTTTTATTTTGCTCTCTCAGTATTTAAACAGCAGAAATGTTATAGTGTTTGTTTGAATAATTAAACTCCTGATCCACATTAGTTTATCAAGTTAATCACATCTGGACTTACTTGGCCTTCCTGCAGTTCCTCACAGCTGGAATCAGTCTCCGTCGTCCCTCATCTGATGTGTTGTACTGATCCAGGTCCAACTCATCCAGAACCTCCTCTGACATCTGCAGCATGTAGGCCAGAGCAGAGCAGTGGATCACAGAGAGTTTCTCCTCTGATCTGTTCTCTGACTTCAGGAACTCTGTGATCTCCTGATGTACTGAGTGGTCCTTCATCTCTGTCAGACAGTGGAAGATGTTGATGCTCCTGTCAGGAGAGGAAGAACTGCTCATCTCCTTCAGGTTGCTGATGGCTCTCTGGATGGTTTCTGGTCTGTTGTCTGTGCGACCCAGCAGGCCTCCTAACAGTCTCTGGTTAGACTCCAGAGAGAGGCCGTGGAGGAAGC